TGCGGGGGAAGGGTTGGGAAAGGAATCAGCAGGTGTCAAGCTGAAAATGATGCCAGTAAAATGTGCCATAATTAGAATCATCTTAGGTCATAGGTTTGTAAGGTCATGTTTACTGACCCAGCTAAAGAGAGATTGCTCGCTTGCTAACTGCTATGGATTTAGTATGTTAGCTTTATATGTTGTAGAATATTTGTTCCTGAATTGTTCTGGGACTTCTAACTTTTAAAACAGATACAGCAGAACAATATAATATAAAAACACAAGCAACAGAAAATGAATAGAAGAATGGGCTGATCGTGATCAAAACAAGCAGTAATATAAAAACACAAGCAACAGAAAATGAATGGAAGAATGGGCTGACCTTGATCAAAACAAGCAGCACTGAAGGAAAAATTTTGAGAGTATAATACTTTGGATATTTCTGTGAAGTCCAGTATGGCTATCCAGGCTTTGGTATGAGAGATTATGGTACCGCTTTATTTCATACTCAAGTATTAATCTGATTTTATTAAGCCATTCTGTAAATAACCTTGCCAATATGTCATAATGTTTCTTTATGAAGAGGTTGAGACATTTATTTAACTTGCTAGGTTGTAGCTTTAGGAGAGCTATTCAAAATTGCTGGTAGTAGAAGATAAAATGTGATTGTCCAGGAGGGTTAGAGCAAAAGTTTAACTTAGATTCAGAAATCCTAGCCCACATTATCTATAGATCAATGAACACATGCAAAATGAGGGTGGGGAGGATTTGACATGTTCACTGCATATGTTGTGATAATCATCTTCATTCAGTGTGCCTGTAGTATGCATGACATCAGAGTTGAAAAGCAGGAGCAAAGGATGCCTATAATATTCCAGATTGGGTACATGTTTAAGGCACAACCAAAACCATGCAATCTCTTGTCCTCTGGGCAGAGTCCTGCGTGGTTATTACCAATGAATACTTAGCCTGAACACAGTACATGATGGCTGTGTCTAGACTAGCAAATTTTTCTGCAAAATCATCTGATTTTGCAGAAAAACTTGCCAGCTGTCTACACTGGCCGCTTGAATTTCCGGAAAAGCACTGACGATCTCCTGTAAAATCATGAGTGCTTTTTCTTGAAATACTATGCTGCTCCCGTTCGGGCAAAAGTCTTTTTCCGAAAGACTTTTGCGCGAAAGGGCCAGTGTAGACAGCATAGTAGTGTTTTCCGCAAAAAAGCCCTGATCGCGAAAATGGCGATCGGGGCTTTTTTGCGGAAAACCACGTCTAGATTGGCCACGGACGCTTTTCCGCAAAAAGTGCTTTTGCGGAAAAGCATCCTGCCAATCTAGACGTGCTTTTCCAAAAATGCTTTTAACGGAAAACTTTCCCGTTAAAAGCATTTTCGGAAAATCATGCCAATGTAGATGTAGCCTAAGGTTACTAAATCATGGTACAGATGCTGTGCAACTCATGCAGGTCGCTGTCCTACCTATGTCAGTGGCACAGTGTTTGTAGCATGATTGGCAGGTTCATGGAAAGCATGCTCATAATAAGCTTGTTAGGACATTGCCTGAATTGCACCTGGGTTTGGTTTAATTAACATTCCACCAAGAGCGGCACAACAGGCACAGTGATGAGAAAGTCTTTGGTCCTGTTTGTTCAACTGCCATCAGTGCCAACTGGAGTTATGCACAGGCGTCAGAAGGAGATTAGACCCCAAGCTTTCTAACTACATCAAGGATCCCGGCTAGCAAGAAGCAAGTGAGTGTGAGACCTGGTGATGCTTGCAGCAGTAAATGGAAGAAATGACATAATATGGAACAGCTGCATCACTTAAGCCAAGGGTGAGGGCCTTTTGGGGGGGGCACTAACCCCACAGAGATATCTGTCAGGCGGGGCACACACAAGTCACACACGCGCGCACAATTCCACAAAACTCCTTGATGTGCTAAAAATGAAATTCTAAAAATGTTTTAAAAAAAAAACCCCCTTGTAGATGCCCCAGCCAGCGCAAAGCTTCTGGGTCTTGCCTAGCTGTGGCCACCTCTTCCTCCCTAAAGACACCCCATGCAGGGAAGGTGCTGGGGGGGGGCATGCCCTCCTCCCCCCTCCCATTCTTGCAAGGAATTCCATCCCATCAGCTCCCTCATGCCTCCTTAATTATTAAGGCTCCAGTTTTCCAGAGGCTGTTCCCTGCTGCAGCCAGCCTATTGGGGGGGCAGGGGGGAAGCTGGCCTCAATATGGCCTCCCCTTCCTCCCAAAAGGTGTCCCATGCAGGGAAGGGGCTCAGGGGCTTCCCTTCCCTCCCGCTCTGGGAACGGATCCGCTCCCTCTCTCTCCTCTGGTCCCGCACGCCTGCTCACGGCGAACGGAGTTTTGCTGGAAGCCTCTGCAGCAGCTCCCCAGCCTCTTTCACTGAAATGCCGCAGGGCTCCAGGGCACGGAGCTTCTCCCGCCCGATCTCCTGCACGCGCCTCTCCCACATGCAGGCGAGAAACCAGAAGTACCCGGCCACACTGCAGGGGAAGTTTCTAAAGTCGCCCCAGGGACCCTCTGCAGCATTTCACAGCTGTGGGACCTTCCCCTCACCCCCGAGGGCTGGATTAAATTGGTGGGCTGCAGGTTCCCCTCTCCTGACTTAAACCAACAACAGGCAACCTTGGCTAGTGACTGGGCTGCATGAGCGGGCCTCCTTCATCTCAGTGGGCTGCATGATTGATGTAACCAAGACGGTCTCCCAGGACAGGGTAGTTTTGCTAATTACACTGGCATACTTAGAGTTTGCAGGAGGTGCGGATGGAATCGTAGCTGCACTTTGACCGGCTGCAGAGGGAGCACGCAGCTCTCACAGTCAATATTGTGTACAGTCAGCACTCGCCTCACATGCTCTTGCTGTATGTGCGTGTGTGATGGCGCGTTGGGGGTCCCCCGTCTCCTGCACCCCGAAATGGCACAAACAGACTGCACCAGCTGGTGAACTAGAGGAAGTTTATTGCTTCTCCAGGATACAGCACAGCACAGATGTAATCTGGTCACAGAGCTGGGCTAGGATGCCTCAGGCCCCCTTGAGATGGGGGAGACTGGGCCCCTAAACTCCAGCCCCTTTCCCTAGGCTGTCTCCTCCATGCTCCCAGCCAGCAACTAACTCACTCTCTTCCAGCCCTGCCCCCCAGCCACGGCAGCATTCCCCCTTCCTTTGTTCCTCTCCATGGGGGGTGTCTGGCCATACGGGTTTGCATAGTGACTCATCCTGTTTTGCTGGGTCGTGGTACCCACGGCAGCCAGTGGGGGGTACCCCAGAGCCAGCAGCATAGAAACCAGCCAGGGACCCCCACTACGTCACAGTGTGTCACTGTAGTAATTCCAGTAGGGGGGAAAAACCGACATACACAGAACCCAGGAGAATCTGCAACCCTGTGCATGGGCAATGGTGAACAACATGTCTCGCCAGCCACGTATACAACCCCAATGGGCTGCACGCAGCCCTTAGGCTCCAGGTTACCTGCCACTGGTTAAATCAAGGAGAAAAATATTTCCTCCTCAAATGATCTCTTTGGCTGCCACTTGTGCCACGCACAGTCCCAGTTTTGACGTCACGGGAAAGCTTTCCATTCGGGGCAATGAGTCATGGGTCAGGTTCACACTCATGTTCTCATTGAGGATAATGGCAAATCGATCAGGTGTTAGCAAAATATAAAATGAAACACCGCTCACCTGCTATCCAGCCACATTAAAAAAACAATTGTTTTAAAATCTAGAGAGGCTCTTAGGGACAGCCAAATTACAGCAGGCCCAGGGTCTCTCTAGCGTCAACGCCCCTCGCTGAAAATGCACACTAAGCGTGGCTGAATGTAGCTATGGGATAGCCTGCTACCAGAGGTGGTCTCCGGCTGAGCCTCAGTAATTTGTAATGGGTTTGTGCCCTGCCCAAATGCTTGTTAGTATGTTAATATTTACTACGCTAACGATGTGTGTTCTGATTAGTCGTAGAAATATTCAATCCCTCTTTGAGTCCTGCTCTGCTCTTGGCCTCCGTGACACCTTGTGGCAAGGGGTTCCACTGGCTTTTGGAGTGGAGAAAGATGAGGCTTAGTCTCCCACTCTGTTTGCATCAGGCTGTCCTACCACTTGGATGGAACAGGCATGGATACTATGGTATACGAGGCTAGTACCAGATTCTCCACAAAAGGAAAGCGCAACGTTTTCCTCGGAAACTGACACTGAATCCATTACAATGTTTTTCGAAGAGCTGTAGTGACTAGCTTAAAGCTTCCAAATGACATGTGCTGTCAGGAACAAGATGTTCAAACACCTTCATCAACACCATTAGTTCTGAATAATGCTGTTCCTCTTTACGTGTCGGTGTTAAGTATTTTTTTTAAATCCAGTTACGGGAATGTGTTGTCCACAACAAATACAAGACAGAGGCTAAGGCTGAAATCCTAGCCCCACTGCCTTCACTGGAAAAAGCATTTCAAGCTGACTGCACACCTTTAAGTGTTGTGGAGGAAAGTGTTGGTCTGACCTATGTTTAAAGGGCAGCAGAGAACATAGAAAAGATTCATTTTTTTAAACAGTCATCCTTCACAACTAAGCTGTACTCAGTGTGTACATTGGGTTTAATTAAACCACAGCTGACAGAGCTAAGACATATGATTTTTCTCCGGTATTTGCAAGCAAGGAAGTCAGGGGCTTCAAAGATATTTATTAGATGCCTAATGGCAGTAGAAAGGCATAGGAGTTAGGTGCCTAAGTACTCTGCAGGACCTGGGCATTGGTGTTTATACAAAACCTTTACGGGTTTAATTAATGACCTCTCACAACTCCCTGTTGTTAGCTGCAGTTTATCGATGGGAGAATAGGTGGATGGAGAAACAATTGCAGCAGCTGACTGGTGTGTGAAACACTATGATGATGATATGATGCTAGATGTTGGGTTGCATGTGCGGGTGTGCACACTACGCCACACCAGCTCTGTGCAGATAGCTGGCATGGCAGATATTGAGTGAACTTCCCAATGACCACAAGATCCTTTAAGGCACAAAGGCACCAGGCCAGGTTTATTCCTGATAAAACACATACTAGCACCTGGCAGATTCTACAAGGATATTAAGACATGTATGCCCGTTACAATGGATGCGGCTCAGTGAATAGCACGATTTTCCATTCCCTCCTCAGCTGGACAAAGATACTTCCTCTTGAGATAAGATCAATGCAGCTTCAGTCGATCAGCCGAGGTTCGAACTAGCAGGATCTAGTGACACGCTAATTCGAACCAAGAAGGCGCTCCTGTCGATGCCAGTAGTCCTGCTTCTAGAAGGAGTAAGGGAAGTCGAATGGATAGCGTGCTCCCTTCGACTTCCTGCAGTGCAGACAACGCCAAAATTCAAGTTAACATACTTCGACTTAAGCTACGCAACTAACGTAGCTGGAGTCGCGTAGCTTAATTTGAACTTATCCCTGAGTGTAGCCCAGGCCTCTCCACGCAGACAAGTTAATACTGCCCCCTGCCATCACCTTGGACATGTTGGTTCGATAAAAACATCTCTATTATGTATCGTCATCCTGACCGTATCTTTTAGGGGAGGTCAGTGTGTTCCTGTTATCCTTAGGGAATATTTTTTACCTATCTTTGACACTGGGATGTTTTGGTACCACGTGATATTGGGATGCGTTTGTGTGAGTAGCCCATCTTAAGAAGGTCTCTTTCTGCAGTATCAGCCCTGTTCTCCAATTCTGTGAGCCGCTCCTGCCTCATCCCCAACCTCTGATACAAGGATTTGTCATAGAATACTAGGACTGGAAGGGACCTCGAGAGGTCATCGAATCCAGTCCCCAGGCTGTCTTCCTCCTACTGCTCCTACTAGAATGGTGTTCCCATACTAGGGCCTAGATCCTGCAAGCCCACATGCTTATCTTTACTCAGATAAATCGCCTCACGGTCAATGGGACGAGTCAGGAGTAGAGGTTAAGTGTAAGTGCTGCCACACCCCTTGGCTTGAAGTGGTTTCCATCATATACATGGTGAGCAGTTTGGTTCACTAGCTTTCAGCACCCGGCTATCCAGATTGTTCCAGCACCCCTGTGTATAAGTCATTCTCTAATTGTTCCTACTTAGTTTTCCCAGGTTATTGATGTTGATGGTCGAGGATGTTGTTGGTCGAGCTGATGCTAGAATTAATGATGGCCTCGTTACAGGTCCTGTGCTCAATCCACAAGACAATGTTGCCTACCAACTACAGGGCACATACGCAATCATGTACCAGGGAATACGGTCTTGTCAGAAGCAAGGGCTTTAAGTCAAGCTGAGTCTACGGTTGCCAGGTCTAACTGAAGCTATTCCGGAAGATTTCCACCCTCCCTCTCTCCCTCCCCTCACGTGATGTCATGTCATTTTCTTAAAATATCCTATTAAATATCTCCTGTGTGGCTTTCAATCATCGCTGGGAGGCTGGTGCTGATTCCGTGAGACTCTAGGCCAATCCTAGAGGATTGGCAACGCTAGCTGAATCTTTAAACCAGCGCTACTCGACTTTGGAAGCCCCGGGGGCCACAATGATATTCACAGCACATGCCGAGGGCAGCAAATTAAGTGTGGTTGCGTATGCATGCAAATATATATGCAAATATATGCAAATAGATTCTTTCACACAATGCCCCGGTACTCCCGGCACCCCTCCCTGGCGGCTAGAAAAGCCGACACCCTGTACCCGTCTGTTCCAGCCAGCCTGTCTGCTTGCGTCTGTCAGTGCTCACTCATCCTGGGAGATGCCTCGCCGTTGTGGAGCGTGTTCCCAGAGCAGGCCATGTTCAAAGGTTCCCACCCGCAGGCCATGTGTTGAGCCCCGGGTAAACCCAAACTGCACCACGGCTCTCAAACAAACCGGCCTCCAGCTGCATGTGGCCCGCAGGCTGTGTGTTGAGTAGCCCTGCTTTAAACTGAACATGGCTTCCAAATGAAGATGACTGGTATTAAGCCTAGGTTATTTTCCCTGTGGTGATGCCTCATTAGCAAAAGAGTAGCTGCTAAATGAGAGCGGCATTGAAGCCTTCAAGATCGGCCCTTAAGCCCTGAGCCAAGACACATTGACAACAACGGGAGCCTTTTGGTTGGTTTCAATGTACATGGATCAAGCCCATGATGTCAGTAGCGCTTACGTGGTTCCAGAGCAGTGGAAGATTCCTCTCTAAAACTATCTAATTCAAAGCTCACGGAAGCCAATGGACGGCTTTGCATTGGCTGTGGCTACATCTACCCTATGAGCTAGCGGAGTGATTCCCCTGCATATACGTCCGCAAGCTGTCACTAGGCTCGCATGAGCATTAACAGCAGTGTCGTTACTAACAGCGTGAGAAGGGGCAAAGAAAATAAGGCCAGAGCCACGTTAAGTACAAACCTGCCTGAAACCAGTGAGTGGGTACTCAGTTCAGCTTAACCACGTGGGCTCAACGCTTTTAAGATCCCTATTGGGAACAGGAAATAGCTAAAGCCAAATGGTGCAGAGCTTCCGCACTATAGGAACAAGTATTTTACTGTATGTTCCAGCACTTCGTAAAAAGCTAGCCTTATTTTTCTCTCTTTAAGGGTGTCCCAGACAAAGCAAAGTATAGAAATAGTATAAATGCAGAATTAGAAATCTAAACTCATGGCACTGTTGCAGTCAATTTGAGAAACACAAACAGCAGTATCCCAGTCAACCCATTAAAACAAGTTTAAACTTCACTTTTGCCATTCACTTCTTTTTTGAGTCCCAGTTCTTCTCTCAAAGGTTCTGCCTCAGACCCATCCTGCATCTTTTCTTTGTCCCAGATATTTCCATCCTCTGTTTCTGTCCTTATATGTTTGCTGTTCTGCATGTTCTCTTCCATCTCTTTTTTCTCCTTCTCCTCTTTCGCCAGCATCCGGTAATTGTAGTAATTCATGATGAACAGGAATATTCCTGCTAAGACCATCACAGCTCCACATTTGATGAACATGTACTTGTAATCTCCAAAAGTATCTATAAGAGTTCCTGTGAAATACAAAACCAAACCAGAGTTTAGAAGTGAAGGCAAAAATCTAAATATCCGAGGGTTCATCTACACAGCAGCTACATCGACATTATTTCAAAATACTGTAAAACTCCAGTGGACCGGCATCCAATGGTCTGGCACTCCTGATGGTCCGGCACCATCTGGAACCCAGAAGTGCTCTGGGCAGCTGGACAATTGGAGCTGCTCTGCCCCAGACTTCCCCGAGTCAGCCGCTGCTGAAATTGACCAGCGGCTGACTCGGTGAAGCCGGGGCCAGAGCAGCTGGGGTGCTGCCAGGTTGGTCCCGCAGCGCCGATGGGTGAATCCCCCCAACTCCACCCCAGACCCATCATAGCCCCCCCTTCTGATAGCCCGGCATATCTGATAATCCGGCACCCCCAGGTCCTAAAGGTGCCGGATTATCGGAAGTTTACTGTAACATAGTACGCATCTACATAGCCAGCCGTAACTGTGTCCATATATGATGGCTTCTATTTCCGAACAGAAGGGCTACTGTTGTGATCAAAGAACAGAATAGGATATTTTCTAATTACTTAGACTCTGTTCGAGCAAGGACTTACCCTTTGCTTAACTTCATGCCCTGTGAATATTATTTTGAAGTCAAAAAATGAGGAGTAACGTTAGTTCGAATCAAGGGGATTGGTTGGAACTAACGCGTCCCGACGCGCACTTTCACTTTCGAAACAGCTGTTGATCAGAGTAACGCGCTGGCAAGATCATGCTAATGAAGCACGGGATATTTAAATCCCTGCTTCATTAGAAATTTCAGTTACATACATTGGCATCCCTAGTTTGAGCTAGACGTAGACGTACCCTTGTGTGTCTAATATTCTGGGACCAACACAACTACAAAAATACTGCGTACAGCTATTTCAAAGGCAGGAAAAATGTGACAGTTTCATCTTGTGCCTTGGAAGTTCAGTTATGGAATCGCGGAAGAGATTCGGTCTAATTGTAATGTCCGCGTTCTCCATTATATCACATGCAACTATGGGCATCTGGTAGCCTAGGCGGGGGAAGGCTTTGACTTCCCTAACCACCAGGTATGGCCCCGCCCACACTCCACCCTCAGAATGCCTGCTGTAGGCGTTCTGGGGGTGGAGTGTTGCTGTTCCCAGTACCCGCCCTCTTGTGCTCCGGGGCGGGGAGGCTGGAGCCATGCAGTCTCCTCCCTCCTTGGTACTCTGGGGCCAGGGAGGCTCTGGCTATGTGGCCTCCTCCCTCCCCAATGCTCTGGGACACAAAGGCTGTAGTTGTGCGGCCTCCTCTCTCCCCGGTGCTCGGGTCCAGGGAGTCTGGTGTGTGTGCACTCACCTCCTTCCCTGTCTTCCCCTCCCCATAGTGTAGGGCGGAAGAGCATGCTCTGCATGCTGCTCTGCCTCCTCTCCATCCCATGGGCTGTAGGTGGGGCTAGGAGCCTGCCTCCCCTAGCTGCACCTACCGCCCATGCATGTGTAACCCACACACCGAGTGTGGTTACTGAGCAATGCAAGTGGTACCTAGACCACAGCAACAGTTAAGATCAAGAGACTTGCACAGCATGGACTAGGAGCCAGCTGGCTTTTAGCTTAGAGGGTAGAAGCTCCTATACCCCACTTCAGAGAGCCCAGGTTCAAATCCACTCGGTGGTGAGTCCAAGTGGGGGCTCGCCCGGGATCTCAACTGGGTCTCTGAAGCTCGGGACGCACTTCCTCACCTAGGGGAAGTATGTAACACACACACCTAAGCTACATCTACACTGGCAGCTTCTTGTGCAAGAACTCTTCCAGAAGAGAGCATCTACACTGGCATGTGCTTTTGCACAAGAGATGTGCTTTTGCACAAAAGCATCCATGCCAGTGTAGATGCTCTCGCAGGAAAGCTCTGATGGTCATTTTAACCATAGGGGTTTCTTGCACAAGAAATTCATGTTGCCTGTCTACACTGGCCTCTTGTGCAAGAACAGTTGCGCAAAAGGGCTTATTCCTGAGTGGGAGTGTCAGAGTTCTGGCGCAAGAAGCCCTGATTTCCTACATTAGAACGCCAGTTTACTTGCACAAGAACACGCGGTCAGTGTAGACATGCAGCAAGTTTTTGCGCAAGAGTGGCCGCTTTTGTGCAAGATTGTGCCAGTATAGACACAGCCCTAGTGTGGTTACTGAGCAATGCAAGTGGTACCTAGACCACAGCAACAGTTAAGATCAAGAGACCTCTACAGCATTGGTTGTGCAACACTTGGCTTTTAGCTCGGAGGGTAGAGACTCCTATACTCCGCTCTAGAGGTCCGAGGTTCAAATCTGCCCGGTGGTGGTTACATGTGCAATACAATGCAAACCTTGTTGAGACTGTGATGCTGAGTATTAATGCGCGTGTATTGAAGCAGTATGGACTGAATTTAGCATCCCAAATCCTAATTAAAATACAACTGACATATCTCTTTTAGTTCCTTCTTGCAATTAACAGGCTGTATATAAGGTCTGACTTTTTGAAGTCATTTTTTCTCTTTTTCTTTGAGAAGAACCCCCCTGAGTGACAACTAATCTGTTAAAAGTCTGGAGGTTAATTATCCCAAATTATATTCACACTACTTAGGTATTTTATCACCCATTAATGTATTTACTGATTGCAGAAATTATTTCTTCAATCGTTTTGGCCAACAAACTTATTTGTTCTATAAACATCCTGGAACACAGCTTTCAATATATTGTCTTATGGACATTACTCACGAAACATCAACCAAAGGCTAATTACTGCAATTCTTGCTTCTTGACAACCAGAATGATCTGGAAGTCTGTTAAATAGGTTTCAATGAAGGTTTTAATGAGTAAAAGCACTGGAATATTCAACAGTAAAACAGTCTCGCCTCTTTTCCTTTGAGAATAAGAGAAGCCATAAAACACACTGGGAACAATTTGCTTAGTTCATTAAAGCGGAACCCTGCAGTGGGTTATTAAATGCCAAAGACCCACTAAATTTGTGGCTTATTAAAATGATAAAAAAATACTCCAAAACTAATATCACTAACTATTATGCCTCACTGTTTGGGCCTCATTAGCAGTTTTTGGCAATTAGCATAATCTCTAGCATAAAAAATTACAGAACTTAGAAAAAACAGTCACCATAAAACTGTGTTTTCTTCTGTTTGCTATAAATTATATAATTACTCTGTGTGAAAAGAAGAGGCTGCAACGGCTTTTATCACAGTGCACGCTACCCAGTGCAAGGAAGGATCATATTGCTCTGTAAGAGAATGAAGCTTAATCAGTTCCTAGTCGTTTTTAATCCCATGAAATTCAAAACCGTTTTTACTCTGCCTTGTGCTTGTGAGGTCCTTGAGTTTACTATCATGAACAGCTGTGTTGAAGGGAGCAATCACAGCTTTATATACAAATGCCTGTGGAACACCTTACCTGGTAAAAAATGGACAGCTGTTCAATTCATGTAAAGGTGACAGATTAACAGTCCTCGCAGCAGACAGTTAACCTGTCTAGCATGCAAGAGCTGGGTAAGCCTTACCTCCTTATGTGTCCCACCTTCTTCTATTCTAGTCACTGGTTCCTTGTCTCTACTGATATATGGAAAATATGGCAGCTGGGTGTCACATACAAACTCATTTAACTCATGGCCTCATGTGGTTTACGTAAAGGCCCCAGACAGTGAAAAGTGTGTTCGATAATTATATTATGTAGATTTTGTTTGGTCCTGGATGGTAAAGGAATTTACAGTCTATGCTACATAATGAAACAATAGGAGGTAATTCTGTTCATGGGAGAAGCCTTCTACCTGCTGCCAATGACTCTGGGCATTGCTGCAGGTTTAAACGCGGGTTGTTAGTATGGGCCTTGAGGGAGAATGAACCTAAAGTTGTGTTTAGTTACAGCTGTGTTTAACTCCTGGCCCGAGCTGATAAAGGCAAGTGTAGCTCTGCTTGCTGTACCAGAGGGAGCACACGCAGCAACTGCAACGAACTAGGGATGTAAAATATGTGAATAAAAATATTAACAGTGTAACCGATCAAATCAGTGATATGGTTAACCGTGGGGCTGCCAGCTGCTCGCCCATGCTCCCTAGGAAAGCTGTAGAGTTTAACCATCAGCTTACTGGTTAACACAGGGCTGGGCAAGATGCGGCCCAGAGGGCAAATCCGGCTCCCCTAACACTTCAATCTGCAGATTGCATCTGGATGCTTTTATTTATGTTCCAGATGGTGGCTCAGGCAGTGGGAACCTATTTCAAGGGCTCATGGCTCCTGGTTGCAGCGCTACCCTGACAGGGGCCGGAGCTATGAGAACCTAGAGCAGTGGTCTCCAACCTTTTCACACCCGAGATCACTTTTTAAATGACAGAACAAGCCAAGATCTACTGCCCCGCCCCTTCCTCGAAGCCCTGCCCCTTCCTTGAAGCTCCGCCTTCTCTATTCTCCTCCTCTCTATCACTTGCTATCCCCAACCCTTATACCACTGCTTTTTTCCCCAATTCTTCTGTAGGAAGAGGTTTTTCCAACATTTGGCCTGTCTAGACTGGACCAAATGTCAGAAAAACCCCTTCTTTTGGAAGCCCCCTTATTCCTTGTGGAAAGAGGAATATAGAGGTGTCCAAAAGATCATGTTTGCTCTTCCACTAAAAGAAGTGGAAGAACAAATGCATCTGTGGATGCAAAAGAGTTTTTCTGGGATATCTCCGGAATCCTGAAAAACTCCTGCAGTCTAGCCGTAACCTTGCTGGGTTGAGACAGGATGTGTAGGCTCTGGGGTGGGAATGAGGGATTTGGGTGTGGGAAGGGGTGAGAGGTGCAAGCTCTGGGAGGAAATCTGGATGCAGGAGAAGGTGGATAAGGGGACACTGGCTCGGGGAGAGGGCGCCAGGCCGGGCAGTGTTGGGGTCAGATGTAGGGTTTTAGGGTACTAAGCAAGCCACAGACTTCTGGATGTGAGGGTTCAGGAATTTGGGTTGGGGTATGTGAGGGGCTCAGGGCAGGGGGTTCCAGTGTATGATCGGCTCCGATGTAGGGTCTGGGAGAAAGGAGAGTGCAGGAGTGTTCTGATGCTGTGGCCAGATGGGTTCTTAGCCCCAATTTGGGGTTTGTTGGCCAGGCTTCATTTTTAAATAAAATACTGTGTCAAACAAAAAAAGTTTCTGCATTGTCTTTATTTCTGAGAAGGGCAGGGAACCTGTCTTGAGTCAGGAGTCACTGACCCAAGAAAAGTCAGTTGGGGCCACACAAGTGAGATGCAAAAAAAACCCTCCTCCCACCGCCAAGCTTCAGTAATGTGGCCCCAACTGTGTTGGTGGGAGCAGGGGACATAGTACTGGGGAAGGGAGCTAGTGGGTGCTTTGGCAGGGGACAGGGGAGGGATCACGTGAGGATTCCCTGTTCTGTTCTCTCCCTCTGGGACATCTGGCATTGGCCACTGTCAGCAGACAGGACACTGGCCTAGATGGACCTGTGATCTGACCCAGTGTGGCCGTTCTTATGTTATGTTCTTACATTTAGAAATGTAAAAGTTTAACTGGTTAACCCAGGAGAGGGCAATAATTTTCACAGGGGAGACATTTAATGAATTTTTGTATGAGGTCACAGGCCGGCTGGAAGGGGTGGGGCCTAGGGTGGAAGAGGCAGGGCTGGGCACTCAGCCTCTCCCCAGAGTTGCCACTTTTATTCTTTACTATAATTTGCTATAATTCTAACTAATTTTCCCAGTATGGATGTTAGACTTGCTGGTCTGTCATTGCCAGGATCACCTCTAGAGCCTTTTTAAAATATTGGCATCACATATGGTTATCCTGCAGTAATTAGGAACAGAAGCTGATTTATAGGATAGTTTACAAACCACAGTCAATAGTTCCACAAACCAAACCGGAGGCTGTGAGCATGTGGGACTTTTTTGTTCTTTCCACGCCAAAAGGTACTGAAGGGGCCTGGAGAGGAGAGATGCTTGGTGAGTGGGTTCTCAGGGCCTATGTGGGAGGAAGGGTTATAATAATAAAAAATGTCACCAGATGCCTGTCTACGGAAGGCAAACGGTCTCATTTTAGTTTGACCTAATTTTAAATGATCAGTCCTTTGTCAGCATGGCACTTAGAGCGCTGATCTGTTTAGGACTCCTACTCTGAATACCAGATAACATCTAGGGCCCGCGACCCCAGCGATATTTAGGTGCTTAATTCCCTTCGATTTCAGGGGAAGATAGGCCCAGATCCTCCAAAGTATTTAGTATCAGAGGGGTAGCCGTGTTAGTCTGAATCTGCAAAAACAACAAGAAGTCCTGTGGTACCTTATAGACGAACAGATTTATTGGAGCATAAGATTTCGTGGGCAAAGATCCACTGATAAAGTGGGTCTTTGCCCACGAAAGCTTATGCTCCAATAAATCTGTTAGTCTATAAGGTGCCAAAGGATAAGGTATTTAGGTATCCCTTTCCAAGAGGGCTATCACCATCACCGAGACACAGGCTAACTTTCCTGCAGCCTTGACTCAGGGCAGGTTTTGTATCATTAGCTTGTAGCACAACAAATTGTAGCATGGTACTTGGTAACAGAGGGAAACTAGAGTCGGAGGGGTCCCTGCAACAATGTTGGGCAGTGGTGACAAGCCTACCCCATGGGTCTAGCACTCAGCCATATGCCAGGCCCTTCACAGCGACATAGGATTCTGCTCAGAGCTGCTTTCAGTCTACGAGAACACACAATCCAAAGTTTTTCATGGGTGAACACTGGCTGATGAGAAAAGAATAAAGGCCCCAGATCGCTGTCAAATTTGTTTTCTATTTTGTCAAACATTTTATATTTTAATGAACTGTAAGAAGGAAAAGCAAAAATTCTCAAATTATTCAAACTAAATTATTTTTCCTTAAAAAACAACTTCTATTCCTCTTTACAGCTCGAATGCTATTTGCCAAGATGAGAGGTTGGAAATCCATAAATAGAAATGTGCCAAGTTACTTTATAGCCAGACTGTACAGCTGCATAGAAATTAAAGGCATCTACATCTGTGATTGTTTGGATCGATCATGTTCTTCTAGACAAATAAAAAACATCAGCTAAGATCCAGGGGGTCTCGATTCAGCAAAAGCGCTTTAATGGAGTTTTTATCATGTTTAAAATTAACCAGGCGCTGGATGGTGGCTGTAAGCAGTCAGTGCTCCGTAGGATAGAGACCGTGGCCTGTTAACACTTTTCCATATGAATAAGTTTACATTTAGGAGTAGTCATAAAGCCACCTGAATGTTTGCTCATCCTCAATCCACGTCACACCTAAAATTGTTGGTTTCAAGATGAATTTTTACATCTGAGACATATGCAGGTTTAAGACCCATGGAATAAATCCCTGGAAGCTGATCTTTTTATTTTTAATGTGGCTAAATCGTCCCTAAGAGACATCATAGAGGACAACTCTATGACCTGTATTATGCTACACCTACTTACTGGTAAAACCAAAACAAAGTGGGATTGAAATGGAAAAGATGAAGTTAGATGCCCGCCCCACCCCACCTATATTTATCACAAGATCAATCTAGGAATGAAAGCAGAAGCTGACATGTCACCATAGTTACAGTCTAGAAACATGCTCACCTCCAATAGGTGGTCCAAGAAGTATAGTGCAACACTCCGCTATGGTGACAAGGCCAACTGCACTTGTGAATCGCGCTGCTCCCACGAGGTCCATGAGGGTTTCGAAGAGCATGGCACAAACCATACCAAAGGCCAAGCCAAAAAAGACGGAGTATACGACTAGACCCGTGTAGCCGGTGGCCAAGGGGCACAAGAGGTGGCAGGCCCCGTTAAAAGCAATTGAAAAGCTGAAAAAATACTGGATCTTTGGCCTCACCCATTTACTGTTGGCAATGATTCCAGTGGCGGGCCTGGCGACCATATCGACCATGGCAAGAATAGAGAGAAGGAAGGCGGCTGAGTATTCATCAATGCCAAGGTGCTTTGCGTAAGGGGCCAAAAAAACAATAGGGGCAAAAAATCCCAGAAACATGAGCACGTTCCCAATCAAGTAAATCAGGAAACCTCGGTGCTTAAAGAGGGACAAATCAAGGTATTTATTAAACTTCTCACAGCAGTCTTTGTCCTCTTTCTCGCCAGTTCCAGCCAACGAGCTGACCGTGTTGGGATGGACCATTTCCACCAGACTTTTACTGGGCTGCTCTTGTCCAGCGTGCTTGATGGCTTGTTTCGGAGCAGGGCTGGCTGCCATTCCAATGGGCCTGAAGAGAGCACCAGCCACACAGCAGTTCAGCAGAATTGCCCCAAGAATAAAGAAACTGCCCCTCCAGCCAAAATGGTCGAAAAGGAACTGGTTCAAAGGCGCCAGGGTGCAAAGCATTACGGGGCTCCCAGCCATGGCAAGGCCGTTCGCAATGGGTCTCCTTTTCAAAAAGTACTTCCCGATGATGATCACTGAAGGTTGAAGGTTCAGAGCCAGGCCAAATCCTGTAACGGAGGAAAAAAACGGTAATAAAAGGGATGGACTCTACGCCCAATTCCACCAATCAGACGGGGGCTCTGTGTATGTCAAAGGTGAGAGCCTCGTTGTCACACTGGCCCCTTTATACCAGGTGCAAGGGCTGGACTGGCACCAAGTGGCCCTCAGAGTCCCAGCTCTGGCTGGGGGAAGGATTCCCCCAACACAGGAACTAAGGAGGGCCACCATAAAGCTGCCTCCAAGGACCCCATTGAGAGACTTGGCTAAGGACACATGCTGGGGAGGGAGGGGGAGCAAGAAGCATCAATGAGGGAGGGATCATATTTCTGGGCTGTGTTTGTCCAGCACTTAGCACAGTGGGGCCATGACTGGGCTTCTTGGCGTGTTCAGTGAAACAAAAGTCGCACACAGTGGTGAGGGACTGCAAACAGCCCTGCGGACCATAGGGTAACCTGGAAGGCTGCTGTAAAATTATAAAGTCCTTGGTTGTGTCCAATTTATACTTCTTCAGCCCCCAGAGGTGCCCCTGGTCAGGAGGGTGCAAAGTGAGCTTCAAGCCACTTTCCAGCCTCTTTACTGGGGGGATGCAAATCTCACCCTTATAGTCCTGGCTCACAGCAAATGGAAATCTATATCCTTAAATAGACGCTACCAGGTCCCCAGCGCTTTTGTAAAGACACAACAGTGTGGTGTGGTAACAATGCCAATCTATTAGCCACAATTTCGGGGTATTTTTTTTGTCCCTGTAAACCTCCATGCTTGCATAAAAATACGATGGCCTGTTGTCTGTGACATGTTCATGCTCACTCTAGTGGTCGTGTTGCGAGGCACAGGTGGACTTGACCAGCTCTTTTGATTTTAAATCAGACTTGGGACCATCTCCTAGTGCTGAAGTTGCCTTAGCTAATATATCTGCTGCTGAACTCATTCTGGAAATGAGCAACAGAGAATGGTATGGAGTAGCCACAGTAGAGCCATCAGCAATCCTGAAGTCCACTGTCCATCAGGTGTTGGTGAAGATGCTGTGGTCTCTGGCTCAGATATGTAGAGCTGCTTTTAAAAGGATTGTGCCTGAATAGAAAACTGTGAGTGCTTATAGGCACTTGCCTTTTTCACTGACGCCATGTCTTCACTAAGCAGAAGATCAATGCTGCTGCAATTGATCTTTTGGAGTTCAATGTAGTGGGTCTAGTAAAGACCTGCTCAATCAAACTCAGAGGGTGCAGCCGATACTCCTGCGAGGAATAAGGGAAATGGATAGGAGCAAATGCTCCCATTGGTCTCCCACTGTAAGAACGGCAGGGAAATCAAATCAAAGTACATCAACTCCAGCTATGTAATTAACGTATCTTGATTCAACTTTCATCTTTAGTGTAGACCTGGCTTGAGAGATCTCTGGGGAGCTGCAGGATTTCATTTGGTTCTCACTGCTGTTCAACAGCCAGAGGGGAGACAGGTGTAGAACTTAAGTCAAACAAATATGAATTTATACTTCTTTGACAGCACAGAGGGCCCTATGACAGTGCTGGTCAATGCTGCTTTCTTAGCGTCACTGATTTACGTATGCTCAGATACCAAAGTGGTGGGCAACCCTATAAAAACTTAAACGAGTGAATCAACTCATTGCACTCACAGGCAGACCTCTCCCTGGTCATCCATGCTTTCGCTACATCCAGACTATACAATGATATGTTCCTAGCTGGGCTTAGATAGGTTGCAAGACATTTACTCTAAATATGGCAATGTCAGCATTGTGTCATACCTAGCAGTTGCTATTTAACCACTAGAGGGCAACATGCTTACATGCTTGATTAGGACTTTCATCTCATTCCCTGGAGGGCTGTGGCTCCTCAGCACACTGCAGAAAGGCAAGCAGACCTAGGTATCAAGTATAGTAGCACCCATCCCTTCAACTGTTAGGCTCAAGTCTACACTGTGGGGGGAAGGTCAGCTTAAGGTACACAACTCCAGCTACATAAATAACATAGCTGGAGTTGACAGACCTTAAACCAATCTTGGCGCCATCTCCATAGCAGGAGATTGATGGGAGAAATGTTCCCATCGACTTCTCTAACTCCTTGAGATAGCAAGGAGTACTGGCATCAATGTGGGGGCACTCTCAGCGCTTGATTTAGTGGGTCTTTAATAGACCTGTTAAATCAAACCCCGGAAGATCGATCACCAGAGCTTCGATCCTCCAGTATTTGGAGATGTGGCCTTAGTACACTGATATGAGCAATTTAGGCAAGAGATTAAAAGGCCTGAGAGGTCAAGAGCATAAGTATATTGTGATAGCAGAAGTGGCAGACACTGCCGCTCATACTAATTTAGAAGGTCCCTGGAGCTATGAGATGTTTAAATTAAAATACCTTTTTTATTGTATTTAAATAAATAGTAATAGTGCTATACATCAGCATAAGTAATTCAACCGCCTAACTGATCATTTGCATTCCTATTGAGTGAACTGAAATCTGTTTTCTACAACAACAGATGTTAAATGTTGAGTGTTGGACCTCTGGAGCATTCCTAGGTTCTTTAGAATACCAGTATGGAATATGTTCGACTTAAGAGATCTTTAAGATTCTGTATGCTGCTTTCCCTTACAAAATAAAATTACATAAGTAATACAGATTGGTCTTAAAGTTACAATTTAAAAAATAAACACACAATTTTCTACCCTAGTCCTTAGCTAAAGCATGATCCTTGTAAAACAAAAATGAAATTTAACCCTTGAATTGAGACTACTAAAACTGTGAATCCTGAAACCAGGACCATGCAGGCTTTTTAAGTTCACTTATTAGTCTATTTAATTGTGCAGTACCTGACTAACCATATGACTTTACAGAATAAAATGTAGGAATATCCAGGTCTTTCAAATTAATTAAGGAAAGCTATTGTAAATAAGTCATATTAGCTACACAGAATTCCCCACTGGTGTTGCACAGCTCAAATTCCAAATATGTCATAATAATCAAGATGGTGATAAATAATTATTTCCCAACAGCAACACTTGACTTTTAAAACAAATAATCAAATGTTCTGAAATTTTCAAAAGAAAATTGAACAAATACATATTACAATAATCTTAAAGTTACATTCTTTGACATTCAGACATTGGTATGAAGCACAGATCTGTTGGGTCTCTTAAATGTGATGGGGCACCTGCAGCTGTTATAGATTGCATAGTATGCAAGAAGGCTGAAGTTCCCTGCTGTGCTGAGGGGTAGCTTAAGGTCTCTAAAGGTCACTAAAGGCCAGCTTCTGCAAAGTATGCAGGCAACCCACTTGCACTGAAATCAGTGAGAGTTAGACACCTAGATACCTTTAAAAATCTGGTCTAAAACCTACAAAAAAGGCATAAGGTGAGACGTACAGGGTATAGTGCTGGTTCTTAGCAATAGCAGTGAATTTCCACAGCTAAGATAACGCAGGGTATGTCTACACTACCCCCCTAGTTCGAACTAGGGGGGGGAATGTATGCATACCGAACTTGCTAATGAAGCCCGGGATTTGAATTTCCCGGGCTTCATTAGCATAAAGCCGGCTCCGCCATTTTTAAAAGCCGGCTTGTTCGAACCCCGTGCCGCACGGCTACACGCGGCACGGGCTAGATAGTTCGAACTATGTAGCCATTCCGATCTATCTGTACACCTCATTCCACGAGGCGTACAGATAGATCGGAATGGCTACATAGTTCGAACTATCTAGCCCATGCCGCGTGTAGCCGCGCGGCACGGGGTTCGAACAAGCCGGCTTTTAAAAATGGCGGAGCCGGCTTTATGCTAATGAAGCCCGGGATTTGAATTTCCCGGGCTTCATTAGCAAGTTCGGTATGCATACATTCCCCCCCCTAGTTCGAACTAGGGGGGGAGTGTAGACATACCCCCAGAGACCACAGAGACCTGCACAATTGTTGGGTTAAAGAAGTAACTGCAGTTTTCACTCCAGATTTTCCAGCCTTTCCCAGATGAACCTGGAAACTTACCATTAATTTTAATGGACCCTCTTTCATCTGCAATATGCAATGGCTAAAAGTCACTTTTAGCCAAATCAATTAGAATCCTGTATTAGCTAACCAAAATAATTCAATCTAACTTCATTCTGTTTCTGCTAATTAGGATTTGATCGTTTCAAACGTACTGGCTGGAAGTTCTAATTACTTTAATCTTTTTGCTCTCTGCACAACAGGCTGGGACACTGGCCTGGGGGCAGGATTCGCTATGGAGCCCTTCCCCTCTCTTGGTCACATCCTGCCACGTGGGGCTTGGTATGTAACACAAGTACCTGCAGCGTTCTGCAGCGCTAGTTACTGACTGCTGGTGGTCAGGTTTTTGGTTTTATGTCTCATTCAAAAGATAAGGTGGATGGAGGAATATCTTTAATTGTCTTGCTACAACAACCCTGCCTATATCATCCAAAAGATGGCAGCTCCCACAGTGCAGGGCTTCCTGGCGGTAGGCAGGGTACCTTTTCCCTGACTCACTGACTACATGAATTTGCATCTGGCCTACATATAACGAGGGGGGGGGAGGATACGCTTTAATTGAGAGAGCAGTTGAGAATGGTGTGTCTAATGTAGTCCACGTCACGTGATACATTCCTTTCCAGCCTCTACCTCCGAGGAGATGCTATTAACAAGGCAAGGGAGGGAGGCAAAGATCTTTTGCTGGTGGGTTTCGTCTCCTTGTCAGGCTAAGCAGCAGACTAGTTGAAATACAGTTCACTGTAAATTGCTGGGTGTGTATTTCTCCGGTAATTACTTTCTCACAGTCATGCGATCAGCAGGCTGGCTTTATAATAGCCCTTAAATGCTCCCACATTAGATCTGACCAAACTAGGGTAAAAAAAAAAAAAACACTTTCAAATAGAGCTAGGAGCATCTCCTTGTCAGGCTAAGCAGCAGACTAGTTGAAATACAGTTCACTGTAAATTGCTGGGTGTGTATTTCTCCGGTAATTACTTTCTCACAGTCATGCGATCAGCAGGCTGGCTTTATAATAGCCCTTAA